TTCTTTTCACCAACTTTGTTAATGCGCGAGTAACTGAACGCTTCATGTCCGATGGTGTCCACATTCCACGGCTCGAGTCGCTCTTGTTCCTCAATAAATAACGTTTGATTTCATGGATACCATTTCTGACACAAACTGTCAGTGCTTGTTTTGATAACTGCTATTTTTGGCTACAGTGTTCGCACTTTTGGTCAGCGATTTAGGCGAAAAGGAAAGCACAGGTATCGATCTGGCATATTAGGAGAAACGCCAGCGTTCTAAGCGTTCTTGGTCGTAAGAGAAGGGATCAGGTGTCGATCTAAAGTTTTGAGCGTTTCGAGAGAAACGCCACCGTTCTGTGTAAAGAGAATGTTTTAGGTATCGATCGCTACTCTAGGGCGCTCGAAATCTCAGAAAGGTCAGAATTTCCAAAACACTAGATGATACATAGTTCCCTTTCCTTTCAAAACGCTACCGTTTCTCCAAGCCGCTCTTAACGCTAGATCCTTGCACTGTACTTTTCTTTTCGCCTGAAACGTTAGATATGCCAACAAGAAGTATGAACGCAGCCTTACGCGATCCGAAGGTTATCCCAAGAATGCTGATTTATGGCGAAAACGTCTCGCCCTCAGCTAAGACTCAGACCTGACCAAATCTAGAACTGGATAAAGCATAGGCTGGAATCGCGGCTGAAGCAAAGCGTTTTGCCCATGACCCAGCATTTTTGCGACTGGTAAAACTTATCTAACGGATATGTGCCCTTGAACTTACTTCCAGTTCTTTCTCTTTAGCCAACCATTTCGCCTCTTGATCCTTGATTTCTGCGATTTCCTTCTCGATTTTCTCTTTCTCTTCAGCAGTGATATCTGCGGATTTTAGTTTCTGCTCTAATTCCTGCAATAGAGAAATCATCAAAATGAACAAAGACATAAACATTCCAGTTTAAGAACAGAAGTATATGAAAATAGCATTATTAATTGCCAATTGGTGCGCCCTTCTTGCAAAAGAAATTATTTGTTTTGAAACTGACCTCAACTTTGCTATTGCTCGCCGACTTATTCTTCTCAATTTCTTCCCTCTTCTGCTTCTTTTCTGCCATTCTTTCGAGACGTGCTTGATGACGCCATCTAAACTCAATTTTCCGTAACCCTCTTACTTCTCCTTCAACTGAAAGCAATAAAATAGGGCGTTTTTCGTCTTAAGTTCATTATAGTTCCTTTAGCTGGTTCATCTAACAGGTCCCGTTTTAGTGAGACCTGTAAATTCGTCGTAGGCTGAAGCTACGAAATGGTACAAGTGAGGCAATTTGGTTACAAGAACATATAAGTCTTCATGATGTGGTCTGTAGGAGCATTACCGAATACTGTTTGGCGCCCCCACAAGTACGAACTGTGCCAGAGAAAGCTATTTCGATGAAAAAGAGAATAATCGTCCAACAATTCGATGGAATGGAAAGGCCAATCAAGCATACCTTGCGAATCAGCGAATCGCGGAACGGTGAAAATCGTGGAGTTTGTAAATTCAGAACCCGCGGAAGGAAATTATGCGTATCGATCCGAAAGATAGGGGGCCTTAGGGAAGTTCAAATGTGTGACCGAATACTGTTTGGCGCCCCCACAAGTACGAACTGTGCCAGAGAAAGCTATTTCGATGAAAAAGAGAATAATCGTCCAACAATTCGATGGAATGGAAAGGCCAATCAAGCATACCTTGCGAATCAGCGAATCGCGGAACGGTGAAAATCGTGGAGTTTGTAAATTCAGAACCCGCGGAAGGAAATTATGCGTATCGATCCGAAAGATAGGGGGCCTTAGGGAAGTTCAAATGTGTGTGATTCACTCCGCCCGAATGGAGATTTGGAGGACTGAGAAATGGGAAATCGGAGAGTAGAGGATCAAGACGCAGTTCGGCGACGGGGGGCATTTTGTACTATCATTGCTTCCTTAGTTCCGGTTTACAAGTCTCACTCTGGCGAAACCTGTGAACTCTTGTGAAGCTGGAGCAAGGTCGTCAAGCCATCATGTTAAAACCTGTCAACTCGAGAAGTCTAGATAGGTCGACACGTCGATGGGAAGTAGCAAAAGTGCAAAATGCCCCCCCCCCCCCCGTGCTGAACGGCGCCGGGAATCAGTCGATACCCATCTGAATTTTCAGCGAATTCCAGCACACTGGAGATTGTCAAGCATACTCTCCTCTCCGTAAAATCCTCGCATCAAGTGATTCACAGTTTCTCCAATGCCACAAGTTCAGGTTAAGGGTGAAAAGAACACAGGTGAAACACTCGTAGACGGCTATGTTTTGAACTGACAGCCTTGACCGAGAGCCTAGCCCAATGCACACGGAGCGTGGCTGAATGGTCCTTCCAACCCCCTCCCAACCACATTGTCCTCCACGACGCGAAATCTCAGACACGTACCTCCTAAGGTACAGAGCCTCAGTGCAAAAAATATCGCAGATTTTCCGAGTATAAGCACCGTCAGGACGAAGAATAGTAAACCGGGATACCGGAACGAGACCACGACTTCCGAGCCTTGATGAATCAAGAAATCAGAAGCATAAACATACCTGAACAGTGAGGGAGTGTCAATGTTCGGATGGGTATCATCCTCATCGTCCGATACCTCAATCGCTTTCCATTTAGAATAGTCGATGGGCATGTTGCCGATTCAGAGCAAGAATCACTTGCCAATGAATCTTACTGAAATCTTCACCGTAAGTGATCCTTTATCAGAAACTGTGATACGCATGGTGACTTTCCAAACAAGAATGAGGCGAAAGCCAGACAGATAAAAAGTGCTAAGCTTAATATGTAGT